CCAAGGTCACTCGGTGGCCGCGGACTATAAATAGCGGGAGGGGCCGCTCCGTGGGCGCTTGGCGAGGCTCCGGGCGAGAAGCCCGTTCCCGGCTCCCCTCCCCGGCGTATCCCGCCCGGAGTGCCTGCCCTGCTCTGTCCTACCCGCGGTAACTCTCTGCGGGAGCTCCGGCAGAGATTGGAGGCGTTTGTTTGGTTCCTTGGGGCGCGGCGGGTTTTCACGTGTCACAGTTCTTCTTCTGGGGTAACGGTGCAAAGAGAAAACAGCCTGGAGTCACAGAAATGCCATCTCCGGGCCACTTACCTTGATCTGATAGGTGTCTTACAAAAATTTGATTTTGTTTTCTAGCCAGAAAGATAAAGGTGAGAAGAAATGATTGTGTCGTGGCTACTGGCAGTGAGCTGGCCTCAAACCTGCTGCGTTTACATACCTTCTGTCCAGGGCCATTAATAGCTTTTGCCTTGTTTTTGCGTGCGCCACAGGGATTCCATACGTGGCAAGGAATTTGCTGTGAGGTCTGGGAGCAATGGCGAGCCTCCTGCGTGTTGCTGTCCGTGAGTGCTCAGCTCCTGTTTTTGGCAATGCGTTACCACCAAACGCGCGTTCTGCGAAGATGTCGTGTCTGCGCATGTTTAGAACCCACCAGGTGTTCAGGTCTCAGGCAGCTCCAAAGCCAGGTAAACTGATTAAACTATTGTAAACAATCTATTATTTTAAAACATGAATATAAATTGTTTCTTCTTTTTTTTTCTCTTTCAGATCTGCATTAGTACAGAAAACACTTAAAATAGAAATCATGGCAGCAGCATACTTGAATCAGTTGCAGCGCATTTTTAGACTGGTTTTATAGGGCTTACACAGAAGGTGTTTGTGTTTATTAAAAGTACTTGGAATCCAAATAGTTTTTATTGCTAGGGGGTCCAAGCTCCTGTTAACACTTCCCTTGCTTGAGAGAAGTATTTAAACAAGTGCTTTTCTTAGTTAAAAGCTCCAAGTTCCCCAGGAGTTTTTGTAGACCAGCTTTTTGTGTGCACGTGAGAAAAAACACAGACCTCACAAAGAGAGCATCTTGCAAACAGGACTATATGTAGATATAATTATCTCATCCAAAAAAATCTGTTAGCTTTGTTCAGGAAACTCTTACGTTGTACCACTCTGAAAAACTTCTGATCTGCATCTTCATGTGTAGGGTTTGCTAGTATATTTGCACTGCCTCCATTTTAGCAGATAATGGACCAGTTCAGGTATTTTCAATGAAAAAAGAAGTGTGAAAGGGGCCATCCTTGTTTCCAGTTTCTAATATGAGCCTGGTGTATGAAGATCAGAGCTGACTTTTTTTCCTCTGTTCTATACTGTGCATGCCCTTACAGTTGGAGGACTGGAGAATACATAATGCAGGTTTAATGCTGTTTTTGCCCATTCATCCTGCACGGGTCATGCTTCCTTTGGAATTTAGAGACCTTGCTTCAGTGCAGATCTAGGGTCTTAGGCTGCAACTGATTAATGTGCAGAGTTGAACTAATTGCATACATGATGCTTGGTTCTTCCAAATGTAGACAGTAGGTAACTGCATTAGATACTTTAGAGTACTAACTAGGAAAGTAGTGCTGTTTGGGAGCAGAAGTGTCTGGCTGTGAAAACACTGGACACAAAATTAGCATGTATAACTGAGAAGCCTGTGTTGCATTGAAATTCTGGGAATACTGACATTAAGTGGTTCATTTTGTGGTCGTTTCAACTTGGTGACTGAAGACTTTGGAACTTCTGAAGAAATGTCAGGAGTGAGGGCTCCTGATAATCTGTGTCATGTGGCCTTTTACCACAGTGGCACAATGAAACCTGAATTTATTTGCTCTGATAGATTTGTGATGCTCCAAATTTTTTTTTTTTCTGTATTAAATATATGAATGAGAGAAACATCTGTCAGTTTTGACATGGCAAATTGTCCCTTGGTTGGGAGTCTAAACTGACACTTAGGAAACTGGGTTCAAAGTTCTTTCTCGAATGTCTCAGGTAAGTGCCCTTGTTGTTGTTTGAGTTTGGAATCAGTCTTTTTAGTTTGACCACGAATTTGATCATGAAACTGAAGAATCTCTTCAGTTTTTCTGAAATTGATGTGCTACTCTGTGTGTGCATTTTCTTGTTTTTAAGAATCACTTTTGAAAAATTTTTCTAGAAGGATGGAGAATTCTGATTAGTGTCATGTGTTTAACATTCGGTGTTGCCCCTTCATATCTGTTGTGTGGGAGCCCTTATTCAAGGATTAGTAGTATTCATGAAATGCAGTTGTTTAATATGGAGAATTACAGGTTTGGTAGTCTTTTGGTTGATAATTAAGCTGTTCTTATAGTTCATTTTGGCAACATGTGATTTGTTATTCAGTAGAGGACAAATCAAGGATGAAACAGCAATTGAATGACATATTAGTAGCAGTACTACGGCTTATTTTTACTTTTTAAGTGCTCTTGAATCAAAATGTAACAGCATACAAAATAACTATGTTTTATTCTTTCAGAAATTACCTGTGATTGTAGTAACACTTGGTAAAATCACTGTAACACTAAGTTTTCTGAAAAGACCAGTGTCACAGTAATTCTTCTTAAGCCTGTAGTTACTGCTTTCATTCTCTCAGATTAGGATTCATTCCATCCAGGCTGTGTTATGTACAAGAGTAACAGCTGCTTGAGGGGTGAAGAGATTTGGAGTCATCTGAAAAGTAAACTTGGAGGATGGATAACTTTCTTACTGCTGTTTATTTTGCTGCTACTTGTTTATTAGAAACAGGAATTTTCATATAGGATTAAACAAGTATTCCTGTAACCTGTCTCAAATAGTCACTAGTACCAGATGTTTCAGAAACAGGCAATTTGTAATTCCTTGCTTCTGTAACAGGAGGGACCAGGTGTTTTTTTAATCTTTTGTATCATTTTTTTTCTCCTTTTGCCAACATCATATTGGTGTTCTTCGGAATATGTCCTCATCTTCAGAACAGGTGAGATGGTTTGTTTAAAGGTTATTAGAGTAACATAAAAAATAGGCAGGTTACATATCCTGTTCTTCCATCCCAGAACATGCAGCATATAGTCAAAACTTCTCCTTTGTCTTTCCTCTGAGTTAGTCTCTAGTATTTGTTGATACTATTTTACTGCAGGCTACTTCCCCAAATCACGTTGAGGAGGTTAAAAAACTATATTTTTTCGCTACAGTTTTAACTTAGAATCTTCTTTAAGATTCTTGTAGATGGAAGTTACATGGAGAAGATCACTTTCATAGTTTTGTTTACTTGAAGTAAGGACATACTTGTCCTCAGTACACAGTCAAGATTATGGTAAGGGGATGAGAAATAGTGACTTCTTACTAGTTTTTCTAAATTCTAGTCTATGTATAAACCATACTAAGCATTTCATTGGAGTGTATATTCCTTTCTAAGGCCTGTGAATGATTCTACTTCTGATAGTGGCATAATTGTATTGGTGTTGATTTTTTTGTAACAAAAAAGTACTGTGTATCTGCTACTCCCATGAACAATTTATTAAAAATCTTAATGTGACTCAAAGAGGTGCTCCAAGTATGCGTATGTCAGTCAGTATTTGGAAAATGTTCTTGATGTCATAAAGCAGTAAGTCACTAAAACATACTCAAAGCAGTTCATAGAGAGTTTGTCTGACATGAAGGATTAGAAAGGCAACTTGAAAGCTTCACAGTCTCATGCAATTTTGAACCCATGGCAAGGATAGCAGATGCACTTCTTCAAAATAAAAACTTAAATCAAGATCCTGAGTTTATGATCCTAGATTTCAACCTTTCAAACTAGTGACTTTAATGAAATTGCTGAGCTCAACAAACCAAATCTCTGTTCATTGTGTAGCTGCTCCCAAACATGTTGTCCATCATACCCTGTTGTATGTGTCGGCACAGACAGGCAGCCGGGACAGCCACAAACTTGTGGCGCAGAAACACAAGCGGAGGCACAGACACCAGTAAATCATCACCAGCCTGCTGTTCACACAGACCTTACCAAGAGTTATTTCCAGCTGCAAGGTCACTTGAGTGATTTACAGTCCTCCTTGCCAGGCTTCAGCTTTTTAACCCTTTTCTCCCAAAACCTTGTCTGAAGTTTTAACATAGATCTTTTTCACTTGTAAACTTCTGCTCCATGGTGGTGAATGATGTGAAAGGTCAGGGTAATCTACTTGAAAAATGTACTATACCTGCTCTAGCTAAAGGCTGGCAAACTGACATCTGTTTGCTTATGTGTTCATTTTCTTCTGTATTTACTGGTTGCTTTAAGTTTGGTAGTGGCACAGAGGAGAAAAGAAGGGGAGAGACTTGTATGTTTGGTCTTACCAAAGCATTGGAGGAGGGAATAGTTCTCAGTATTGGTTTCTGAACTTACTGAATAAGGTGCTAATACTTTCTATCTGAAAAAGTTGTACCTATTTTTATTGCATACAAGATATAACAATGCGAAAGAAAGAAGTGAGAAATGAGGAAACGCATTTGGTGTCTAGCAAGTGCATATTCCTGTCCTATGCCTCCTAGCCATTTACTTTTCTCCTCAAAAAAACAAGTGAAGAAGAAGAAATCAGAAGTATCTATTGTCATTTCATTAAAAAAGATTAATTTTTTTGCTTGAGAAAATAAAAGCTTTAGTCGTGTCTGTGTTTAAATTTGCAGTCATCTTTCTATTCCCCGTATGCTATAATTTATTCCTTCTCTCCCATCCTCCCCCTTCCCCCCAACCCTAACTCTTCCCCCTGTCTTCCCCCCCTCCTCCCCTCTACCCCTTCCCTTTCCCCCCTCAGACTTCCGTTCCCCCTCTCAGCATTTTGGTGCTACAAAAACATCCAAAAGGAGAAAGGGAAGGTAGAACTCTAGTTCTTAATTTTTCTCACTGCTTCTTGAAAAGCTTTTTTGCCTTTTATCCTACCTTACAGCTACTTTCTTTCTGAAATTACAATTGGTCTTTGTTATCCTAATAAATTTCAATCTTCTAGGTTTCATTCCTGCTTCTGAAAGACAAGAGAGTTCATTTCCACCGAGATGATTTAGTGAAAATCAGAAGCAGGACTTTATTGTGTAGTAATTAGAAGAGATGAGGAGAAAGGTGCCTTCAAATGACAAAGGGTAATTTGAGTGACAGCAGCAGTTACCACAGCTGACAAGTGGTTAGTGCTGCTGTGGTGGGTATGGCCTGAGTTGCACGATTATATTTAGATGTAGTGTCTGCTGATGAAGCAAATAATTGCAAAGCACTGTTAGCTTTGTGGGTCTGTTGTTTTAGATGTGCATTCTCGCTCCTGTTGTGACTTTATGTTCTTTTAACATATGTTTTTCTGAATTTGGTTTTTGTCTTGTAGTTAAAACAATTTAAATGTTCTCCAACATATAAAATATCAAAACACTTCTTTCTTCAAACTATTTGTTACTAATTTTTTAGTTAAATTTCAAGGACAAAGATAAAATTAAAAAAAAAAAAGTAACTAGAATCATAGAATCATTAAGGTTGGTAAAGACTTCCAAGGTCGAGCACAGCCTTTGGACAAACACCACCTTGTTAACTAAACCGTAACACTGAATTCCATGTCCAGTCATTTTTTGAACACTTCCAGGGATGGTGACTCAACCACATATATGGGGAGCCCATTCCAGCACTTAACCAACCTTTCAGTGAAGAAATTCTTTCTGATGTCCAACCTGCACCTCCTCTAGCTCAACAAAACCTCCCCTGGCACAGCAATTAGAAATAATGCACTTCTTTGTCTGGTGATTTTTCATTCTGTCTTCTTGTTGGATGTGTTCAATTTTTTTTTTTTAATGAGTTAGTAGACTGAGAAGTATAGGTAGGTACTCAAGTACCAGTTCTTAGTAATTCTGTACTGTATTTTCAGAACATTATAAGCTTATCTTGAAAGTTTTAATTAAAATATTTTCAGATTTTCAACTTTAAGTACTTTATAGTCCCAAGTTTTATGTAATGGAAAAAATATTTTAATATTTTTAAATGTAAACCCAGTTCCTCAAAGTTCTTATTTTTTGCTTGTTTCTGTCTAAAAGTGGAAAGGAGGCCTTCCTAAAATACTCCTTGTCTGGTACAAATTTTCATAGCACAATACATACATGGACAATTTAAAATCAGATTTGTAACTTAAAACAAGCCTTTTATCCACCTTCTCTCCTTTTGTTTTGAGGTTTTTTGTTTGGTGGGTTTTGTTGTTGTTGTTGCTTGGTCATTAATATGAGTGACTGCTTAGACAGCTGAAGTTGTATTTCATTAATATATATGTGGTATAAATGTCTTGCGTAGTCATGTCACAATCCAGCTTTAAATTCTGGATAGATATCAGTGAAACCTGATATAGGATTGATCCTGTGATGGGCTGCATGCTGTTGGTATAATTGAAGCAGTGTGGTAGTTTGATATATGGTTATTCTGCTTGAACCTGTGTATTGATAAATAATATATTTAAACACTTGTTTGGATCAGAGAAATTTAATTCCCAGACTGGAAGCCCAGTCTAATATTGAAAATGTCAGCTAAAACTGATAAATTTTGGCTTCAGCAGTTTTCCCAGTGTTACTTAGTGGAGCTTTGAACAAGACAAGCAGATAATATTGAAGAGAAGTACTGTTGAAGAAGCTAGTAGATGGATATTCCATTATTCTTCAACTACTTCTGAATTCACATTTTTCATTTCTGTGGCAACTTTTAGAGTACCTCGCTGATGTAATTGTGCCTTTGAATGTACTTTATGGTATGTATGTTACATTTGTTAATAGTGATTTGGGACAACTGTAATTTGATAGACACAAAAACATGTTCAGTTAAGATGTAGTTTCACTGCTCAAACTCATTTGTTTATTTCTTCACAATAAAGTGGAAGTGGCTAGAGACGGATTTAAATCCTTGCCTAAGGTAGAATGTTTTATCAGCAGAACACCAGGTATTGTGTAAATCTGAATGCCAGTTATACAATCAGAACTGTGTAAAGTCTGATGGGTATGAACTGCATCAAACACTTGTTGCTGCTTGTGTGGCTGATTGTGCTGACCTGCTGATTGCTGGGAGGACAAGGATCTCTAGGAAGATGGTGCAATTTAAGGAAATGTGAACTACGTTCCTAGAAAATAGCATTCTGCTTCCTCTTCCCTTAGGAGGGAGAATTGCTAGCTGTGACATGGCTGCATGTGTCTGTACAACATTGAAGAGTGCCCTTAATATCGATTAGTTATTCTAGTACAATTAATGCTGTCTTATCTACCACTCTTACAGGAATTCCTTATAAACAGTTGACAGTTGGTGTCCCCAAGGAGATATTTGAGAATGAGAAGAGAGTGGCTCTTTCACCAGCTGGAGTTCAAGCCTTGGTTAAACAAGGCTTCAGTGTTGTGGTGGAATCTGGTGCTGGAGAAGCCTCCAAATTTTCTGATGACCATTACAGAGAAGTTGGAGCAAAGATCCTGGGGACCAAGGAAGTCCTGGCTTCGGATTTGATTGTGAAAGTAATTGCTTTATTAATTTCCTATTACATTCTTTTAGCAGAAACTTATAGGTCATTTTTTTGTAATAGTTTGCTAAAAGTTCAGTAAGTAAGGTCCTTTAGTATTTTCTATTCTGAGTCCTGACTCAATTTTGGTATTTTTTTTTAAAATAGCTCAGGTGTGCATCTACATTGAGAAAATTATTAAATGATGGTGTTGAAGAAATTGGGGATAATTTCTTAGCAGATTTCTAGCTACTTTTTACTTGTGTTTTCTAGAGCGAGGTATTCTAGAGTGGACTCTAATCAGGTGAAATCCCTGCTCTAAGAAACCTTTTCTCCAAATTTAGTAACACATAACTCAAGTTGCTCTGTAGATAGTTGTTTGGAATTTTGAAGATACAAGTTTCTAACTTTTTCAGTTCCACAACTCAGTGTGTATCAAAAGTATTTGTCACTAGATGAGTTACAGCTAATTTGGGAAAACTACTAAAAGCGAAGTTACTTGAGAGGTTTTAGGTTGTGCAGAGTCCTGAAGGAAAAAACCAAAAACACCTTAAATTTGATGTTGAGGCTTCCTGTAGTTGCTCTAACACATCAGGATTGAAGGCAGAATTTCTATGAGCTGCTTTGTGAACAACCCTTTTAAGGAGGTTTCTCTTTGAAGAAAAGTGAGAAACTTAAGTGAACATAGGTGGAGATTACTGTCTGGATATCTGGCTTGAAATTCCCTGTATGTAGTCATGCCTTGCCACCTAATTAGTGATTCTTAGCCTGTAGAACTTAATTGGCATATGTGTTGAGTAACCATTTTGCTTAAAAATGGTAGTTTTGAGGGTAGCTGTCTGTTAGAAAAGGCGGTGGCTGCTGGTTAAAAGCCATCAGATCTTTCTCAAGGTGTGTGCTGACAACTACTGCCCTGTCACCAATCCACCTTGAACTAATTCCAGTATGTGCACTGCAATTAAGAAGGGCAGTAACTCAGTTCAGTTGTATAAACAGCCTTTGATATACGTGCTTCCTTCTGTACTTTGTGAATGGGAATGGCCAGACTGCACCCTGGGAGAAAGGAAGTGGAGTGTGTTCTGATTTCTTTCCTGTGATTGACTTAGAAACTTCTGTCCTTCTTCAGGTGAGGGCTCCTATATACAACTCGGCTCTAGGTGTACATGAGGCAGATCTTTTTAAGACGGCGGCGACCCTGATTAGTTTTGTCTACCCGGCACAAAATCCAGACCTCCTGAAAAAACTAGCAGAAAAAAAAGCTACTGTCTTGGCTATGGATCAGGTTCCACGGGTCACCATTGCTCAGGGATATGATGCACTTAGCTCCATGGCCAACATTGCTGGGTATGATTTATTTTTTTTCAGCTTCACTAAGTATAGCTGGATTAAAAATCATATGCTTTGATATTAGGTATATCTAAAACAATTCTACATCTCTGTTTTCATGCAGTAGTTTCAAGGAGGATGGTGCTGTTGGAGGTGCCAAACTACAGAAGTTTCTTATGGTCAGCTTTACAGCAGATGAGAATAAAGGTTTTAAAAAAATAAACTGGAGGCAATTCTAATTCCCTGACTTTGATCTTAACTGGGTCAGAGCAGTTAAGATATCATTAAGTCATCTTGAACACAGGTTGTCTGTTGGAAGGATCTGATGTTGAGAGGAGCTAACTAACCCAAACAACACTCAGTATGAGTGCAGTTGCCATGGCAGATACAAACAAAAGATCAGATACTGTCCCATATCCTCATGCTTTGCAACTAACATTTAGGTATTGCAGTAATTTAAAATGTTGTTGTCAAGCTGGCTTTCTTTTTTTTAAATTTTGATGATGTCTGTGAGGCATAATAAGCCTTTGAGAAGGCTTCCAGATTTTGTGCACACAAGCAATATACATCCACATACATGTTTAATGACTTCTTTCAGTTTTCATTTGGTGTAATTTTACTGAAATATAGACATTAATAATGTATTTAAAGGTATAAAATCTGCAAGCTGTATTCCAAAGGTGAACTAATTTTGTGGCATACAGACCTCCATGTACCTGTTCTAGAGACAGGAAAAAAAGTGGAATGGGACTGTTGAACCACAACACTGTTAGTAAAAGTACAAGAAAATGTACACTCTTGTTAAGACAAAATTACATATTAATCTTCATCTACAGATAGCTGCTCTGGTGTTAACTTGGTGTCCAACCACCCATTCTTGGATGGGGCAAATGAAGTAACAAGGTTACGCTATTTGTCCTAAGTCATATGGCTTTGCAAAATTAGGGTTAGAATATCTTTTTTGAATGCGTGCTTGCTCTAAGTGAGCTTACTGCAGAATTACTCAGGCTTTTGCAATTACTTATTCGTTGCTCCCTTCCGTAGCAGGCCTCAGGTTACAGCCTTTGAAGGTAGTTTCAAAGACCAGAGAGTTAACTTTTGGCAAGTTAGGCATGCATTTTTAGGGTAAAATTTTATTTGAAAGAGTGAATAGTTGCGGACATCCAGTATACTGCAGTCCAAAAATTATGTCTGAAAATGCATTCAATGATTTAAAAAAAAAAAAAGGCAAGAAATATGAAGAAAGACTATTAAACTTGTGCTCAGTAGTAAAATATTAAGATATTCTACACATGCTATGGTCAAATGTTCATCCTTTTGATTGATGTCATGAATGGAATTTTACTGAACCTTGGGAGAATACTAATATATGTTCATCCTTAATTGACAGTTACAAGGCTGTGGTACTGGCAGCAAATCACTTTGGTCGATTTTTCACAGGTCAAATCACAGCTGCTGGTAAAGTTCCTCCAGCAAAGGTATGTGCAATTAAACACATGGCAAAGGAATATGAGTTCCTGAGCTTAGGTAACCATTGCTGAAACTGTGTTATTTGTTTTTCTACCTTGGGGTTAGTTCTAGAGACTTTAGAAACTGCTGTAGTTATTCTCACACCATTTTTTGTTCACATCTGTAGTTACCTTGTTTTGGGAATAATAGAACAGTTTGAGTTTTACTTAAGTTTACTTTGTTTTAAACATCAGACCAGCCATATGTAGGTGGACTTATTTTTTTTCAAAATGGGGAAAGAAAACAGTTAAGAGAAGTCAGAGATATTGGGGCATTGAAGGGTGCAGTGGAAAGGTTTACTTAATTGGAATTACAGGTGGACTGGGTTGAAGAGAAATGCAAGTAGAATTAGAGAGGGAAATAAAAAAGGAAGATAAATCAAGGAGAAAACTGCTACTTACTTACACAGACTATTAGCCACAGGTGAGTTGGCTCTTAGATATGTGAAATTAGGAGTTACAGCTTTTAAACTGTTAGTTTATGGGGCAGTTTTGCCAAAGTAATTTTGTTTTCTGTGTCCTGAGGTATCTCGTTTAAATGGCTGCTTAATGAGATTTATCATCCTAGGTTTTGATCATCGGAGGAGGAGTTGCTGGTCTGGCTTCTGCAGGAGCAGCGAAATCGATGGGTGCGGTGGTTCGTGGATTTGATACTAGGTAGGCGTAAGAAAATAGTAATAACAATCCGAAATTACTTTTAAGTTGTTTGTATTGCAGTGAAATTGTACTGCCATTTTTTAGAGGAATAGACTGGGAAAATTAGAGAGCAAAAATACTTTTTTTCTTATAGCTGCAGAGACTGCAAACTTGATTAGTTCTTTTCTATTAAACGGCCTTCTTGTATCAAATTTTTACATGCTTAGTACAGTATTTGCATTAAAATTATGTACTTATGTGCTTTATGTAGAAGTGGCATCTAGTGCTACTTAGCTATATCTAATATGTCTCCAGATTTGTGATGTGCAATATGAGGAAAACCACTCTGGTTTCTTAGAAAACGTCTGCATAAGTCTTAAAAGAAACTGGAAAGAGGTTATTTTTCATAAAAGCGTGGTCAAAATCAGTCTAAAACTTTTCAGATCTTTTAAATTCCCTACTTGAGCACCCTGTATACTTTTATCTTGAGATGCAAGAACGTTTCTGCCGAGTTCTCTGTGTGTTGTGAATATTCACATAACACTGATATTTATTCTCAATATTTACTGTGATGTCATGTGATTCAAAATAAATTACAGAATAACTATTAAAAAACCCAACTCCAAACATCCCCACCCCAGCAATTTTCCCTGTGAAAATAAGACTTACTAGACTTACTTCCCATTTCACAGTTTAAAGACAGCACCACAGGTTGTGTATTTATCACCCATCTTAGACACTTAAGTTTGGGCTGTGGATTTACCTAGTCATGGCATAAGAAATGTGTGTGGAGAGCTAGGCATCAGTTAAATCTTCCCTTTTGAGGCTTTTCTTAGAGCAACTCTGACTATACAGGAAACTGTAGGCTGCCTTCATTCCTTATCCAAGTCTGTCTGGAATCTAAATTTTGTGATGCAATTATTCTTTTCACTAAATACAGAAAGTTGAGGACTTTAGTTATAGTCTCCTCAATCCTGAAATAAGTTTTGTATCTCTTGTCTGAAGACTGCTACTGAAAACACTGGTAAAGTCATGGTGTATTTTTAAAGTGGTGGCTTCCTCTTCTACAATTTTCTTTTTCTAGAGCTGCAGCTTTGGAACAGTTCAAGTCTCTTGGTGCTGAGCCTTTGGAAGTAGACTTAAAGGAATCTGGAGAGGGACAAGGTGGTTATGCTAAAGAGATGTCCAAAGAATTTATTGAAGCTGAAATGAAACTCTTTGCCAAACAGTGCCAAGATGTTGATATTATCATCACTACAGCACTGATTCCAGGTATGTTTTATGTGTAAAATGCTAATTTTTGTTTACCTAAGTAAGTAAGTAAGTTGGCATATTTTGGAGCTGCACCTGCAGGGTTAGTGAATTTTGTCTATGTGAGCATTAACTTCCACCATTCTGTGATAAATGCCCGGTTTTAAAGTGTGTGCCTCCTTTAAAAACTCTGTTTTCATAAAGTATCAGTCTTTGGCTCAATAGCATCATGTTTTTCTTGTTAAACAAGGAGCAGATAGTAATAAAGTAAGAGTATATAATTCTCTTGCATACCTACTGCATCACTGCTACTTCTGCTCTACAACTTGCGCACTAAAACAAGTCTGATTGAAATGGTACTGTCTTTGCAACTGAAATGTAGTAAGGTAGAGCTTGTATTTCAGTGTTTTGTATTGCACAATATCTATATTTCAATAACTTACGATGAGGCTTTTTTTTGGTTATGACTTGAATTGTAAGATTGAATGTTATCAGTTTGCTGGCAAAATTGGACTTGCTAGCATCTTTGGTAGACTGCCCATGCATAACTTTTTTATATGCTTTGGAGCAGGATGTTCTAGCATCTCTTCTCTCTGTCTTAACACACGTTCTGTGATATTTTATCCTAGCTACCGATTACTTGAAAATTTTGCTTACAAAAGTAATATGGGTAGAAGTGAGAAGTAATCTCCTGAGCTCAACAGATATAAAGCTGTATTCTGTTTTTAACTTGCTATGTTTTATCTTGTCAGGTAAAAAAGCTCCTATCTTGTTTAAGAAAGACATGATTGAATCAATGAAGGAGGGTTCCGTTGTTGTGGATTTAGCTGCAGAAGCAGGGGGAAATATTGAGACTACAAAGCCTGGAGAAATGTATGTTCATAAGGTAAGCATTTTAATCTGCAGTTCATTCTCAGTTGGCCTGAACTCACATTGTGTTTTGTAAACTGGATCCTGAAAATGAGTAGCTGATTTTGCTGGTTTGGGCTGAAGGAATCTTTTACATTTGCATTTGGTCACTGTAACGTGTATGAATTTGAATACTTTTAAAGAAACAAATACCTTTGTGTTGTGTTAATTTGCTTGTTAATGGATGTTATGGAATTCTTACTACTTAGACTTCCGAGTCCAGTGGTTTGTCTCTGCTGAGCTGAAGGTGTGGTTTGACCTAAAAGAGATAGTAGTAGAAATAGGTTCTTTGACTTACTTATCACCTCCCACGACTGGGGGTTGACAAGTCCCTGCCATTGGTAAACTGAGCAGGATCAGACTGTGTCAATGTTTACTTCAGTACAAAGTCTCTGGCTTAGTTCAGTACAATTTCAGCTTCAGGAGGGTACTGGCTTTATATGTCTTTAGCTTCAAGAATGTGTGTCTTCTGTAGAGTATCCAAAGCACTTGTAACCCAAACTAGGTGTCCTATAAATTGGTTCATTAAAAGAAGCAGTTTGGCTCTGCACTGAACTACTTTGGTCTTGCTTTGGTGTTTACTGGTTTGTTTGAGAACTTGTTTTTCTACTTTTTGGGTTTTATTTTTGGTACTTATGACAAATCTACTAGCAATTATAAAAATTTGGTAGCAGATTATCAGGGTTGTTGCTTGGTATTGCAAGGACATAATGCTGTTATTTGTGAAGCCTGTAGGATGTTGCTGCCATGGTCGTCGTTAACAAAAGCAGGGCTCTTTGTGTATATGTTAAAGACTCGTGTTACATTTGGCTTTGTGGCTTTCTGGGGCTTTTGATGTCATTGGTTAAAACCTGAAACTAGAGAACATAGAAGACAAGTAAGCACGTACTTCCATGAAGAGTTTATATGGGGTACTTTTAGAGAAGTATTACCCCTGGATTTAGTGTACTGGCACTGTGCTATGGAAAATGGCAACAATGCAGAAGTATTAGGATTGTGCCAGAGCATTGCATTAAGGCAGAGTTTTGGAAGCTTGCACGGATCTTAACTGTAAGTTGTGGGAGCAGTGTTCTAACTCAAGCCTGCTTGAACACTTACGAGTGTATTACAGCCTCAGTTTCTGCTTCCTCCCAAAAGTCTGATAGCCAGGTGTACTCTCATTTGTTCTTTAAACAGTGAGGATCTATTATGTTCCACTTTTACATACACACGAACCGAGACATATTACTGGCACAGCTAGCTAGCTCTGGGAAGCTCCCTTCACTCTGCTGGCATATAGAAAGTTGGCTTCTGCGCTTGCCTTCCAGAAAAATGGAGAAGATACCAAGCATTAGGCAGGATAATCTGTTACTTGATTGCTTAAAGAAGTTAAGTTCTGAGGATTTGGAGAAGACAAGCTCTTGCACCAATATGCCTTCCTCTTTGTGTAGGAAGAGCTTGTTGCTAATAGCATTTAAGGTGTTGGGTTTGATCATGATGGATTCTGTAACTGTTGTGAGTAATCCTCCCCTGTCTTAATAATGTCAGAACTGCAGGTAGCAATTTTAGTGGGATGAACAGAAATAAGTGCAAGAGTTGGGATATGTATTTCCAGAAGGATATACTGGAAAAGATGATGCTCTTTCAGAGATTGTACGAATCCTCATTATTTTACTTGGATTTTTTTTTCCAGGGTGTTACACACATTGGGTACACAGATCTGCCTAGCAGAATGGCTACTCAAGCCAGTACCCTGTATTCCAATAATATTATCAAACTTCTAAAGGCTATTAGTCCTGACAAAGAGAACTTCTACTTTGATCCAAAAGATGAATTTGATTATGGGACTTTGGATCATGTTATTAGAGGAACTGTAGTAATGAAGGTAAGTCAGTAAATATTCTCTTCTTAATTTGTAAGTAAATCTTTAACCTTCATCACTGCTGTCTCTTCGAAATGCATTTGAAGATACTGCATGTCAACAGACTTCAGAGGTGGCTTGATGAGAGTGTGAGTGTGGATAATTGTGTGTTTATTCAGCTGAGCATTCCTCTGTCCCTTTTTGTTGTGGGAAACCTCTTTGCTTTGTCTTCTTGTCAAGGTTAAACAAATACCTAATGCCTCTACTGCTGAAAAATAGCAAAAAGATAAAGTTTGCCTGTTGTATTCGTGTGATAAAAACATAATTATTTAAAATATATTTGAGACTTTACTACAGGACCAGAAAAACATTCTTCCTGTATTTTTTATTTAATTTTTTAAAATACATTTTTCTTTTATAGTAAGAGTAACTTCAGAAAAAATTGGTGAAACTAGAATATGCAGGATACTTTAAGCTTTATTAGGAAATAATAAAATACAAACTCAGAGAATCAACCAGTAAGGGCTCTCCTTCTATAACTATTAGGAAATAATAATTTGCAGTTTAGGTAAGAGGTATTAATTTCAGTTGAGTTTTGGTGCATAATGTTGCTAATACTTTATGATAACTGCTCTGGAGGAGACTTATATTGACTTAAGCTCTCCCAGACCACCGTTGTGTACAGCTTGGGACTGACAGCTCCACAGTTCCCTCTCTGGATACCTGGAGAACAGCAAAAAATATGAGACATTATGCTTGGTCTGGATAGGCTCTGATTCCATTCAGACCTGTGGCAGATTTTGCAGACTTGTACTGATGCAGGAAGATACTCCTGTGGTATGGCTGTAGGATGTTAGAACTTAACTTGGACTTTGCAGTATTAAGAAGAAAAGGTTTCTCTAACTACAAACTGTCTGCCATGTTAGGCATAACTGTAAATATTTCTTGTCAGGATGGCAGGGTCATTTTCCCAGCACCTCTACCAAATAATATTCCTCAAGGAGCACCTGTGAAGCAGAAGACTGTAGCAGAGCTGGAAGCGGAAAAAGCAGCTACTATTACACCTTTTAGAAAGACTATGACTAGTGCATCTGTATACACAGCAGGTAAGCAACTTCCAGAGCTGGAGAATCAGTGTAGAGTACTCCTCATTTGTCTAGTACTTCTAATTTAATTTAATAACTGTTTTGGAGTGCACTTGATTGTCTGGTGTATCCTAGTGCAAAATCAGTGCAATGTGATAATTGCTTTTAAGAGGGAAACCAAAACTTTAGAAATATAACCAAAAATATTAACATTTCAAGAAGTGCTGACTCATGTGATGTGCATTTATGTTTGGCTCTATTTCTGTATCTGTAAAATGCTTCAAGTTCTGAAGGACTCCTGACAGGGACTGTACCCATACTTTTCAGCAGAATCCGTTCAATGCCATTGGTTTCTTCAAATTTTACTGTATTGGGTGAGACTTAAATGCTCACAGTCTACTGAAATACTAGGAATAGGACCTTCATCTTGACAAAAAAATATTGTCTCTGTGTAATGTCGTACTCTCAGTGCATCAGAATGTCTATATGAGGTAATTAACGAATTGAGTATTCTTAATTTTAATCTCTGTTTTTCATACATATGCTTTGATGTGTTCCAAGTAATATCTCAGCATGATTGTGACTCTTCTACATTTTTTCTATACAACAGGAGAGGACAGGATTCAGTGTTTGTGTAGAAATGTATCTTTGCTGTGTTGTGTGTATGCATAACAAATATGTGTGAAATCTGGCTTTATTTTCTATCATAAAAGAAACAGTAGCACCGAAAGCACTTTGTATTTCAAGAGGGTGATCCACCTGATCTTGAAGCAAATCCATGCACAGAACTCTGTTTTGTTTTTATGTCACTATTGGACTCCTGTTATATACAATTTAAATGTAAGAAATCACTGAGAAGTTACAGAGTTTTTCTGTGCTTTTCTCCTAGGTTTAGCCAGTATGTTAGGACTGGGCATTGTAGCACCTAATGCTGCTTTCACTCAGATGGTGACAACATTTGGCCTAGCTGGAATAGTGGGTTACCACACAGTGTGGGGTGTGACTCCTGCTCTGCACTCTCCACTCATGTCAGTGACTAATGCTATCTCAGGTGAGTAGCTGTGACACAGCTGTTTATTTCCTATTTGATGTAGGCACGGTTTCTTTTATTGGAACTTTAGACAAAAGTCTGCTGATACGCCTTTTAGAATACCAAAGAGCCTTGTAGTACTTAATTGAGTTTACTTTCATAAATAGCAAGGACTCCTGAAACATGGTCTTTCTGAGAGTATGATTTTTCAAAGGAAGGGCAAATGTGCTGCATAATTTAATTTTCATAAGTAATTTTTTACTCTTGACCTGTTTGCATTACAATTTTGTTTTACTTGAGTGCTGCAGTCTGCTTTCATAGAACACATCATTCCTCCCATCTCTCCAGAACATTGCCCTGAAAATAACTTGTCTCTCATATTTTTTGCATTCTTTTATTCTTTACCTCTAACTATGTGTTTTGAGAGAGAGGAAAAAGAAAAAATTCCTGAATTACCCATAAGACTCATAACTCTATAAATAGGTAGGATTTTATATATCTGTGTTTGAGTAGATGTGGCAGGTCTCAAGTCTGATTTACCTTGGTTGTTAAAAGCAAAATTTCTTTTATTGAAAAAGTACTTATAGGCTAACTCTGCTTGAGGTGCTGCTCTTTAAAACTACATTCATACACTATTTTTTTTTTTCTTTTGGAACATGTTTATACTGCTAAAAAAACCCATGGTAGTCTTTCTTCAAAGAGTAGTGTGTAGAATAGGGGTCAAAATTTGAGTTGGCTGATGTTTGTTTGACTGTTGAAGACGTATAGAGCCTTTTAAGGTTCAGTAACACTTCTCTTTTAAATAGGTCTAACTGCAGTTGGTGGGCTGGTACTGATGGGAGGACACTATCTCCCTGAAAACACTCCTCAAGGTTTAGCAGTGCTTTCAGCCTTTATCTCTTCAGTCAATATTGCAGGTATGACATGTTAGGTTTTCTCTTGAGAGTAATTTCAAGCACTTGTATAATTTTATAATTTTTTTTAGCTCTTTAATTGTATGGATTCCAGAAATAAAAATCTGGGAATAGGATCTGAGAGCTTTCATCAATATAAAGACACCACTCCTCCAATTTTCATATTAGTTATTGTATCTGGTTAACATACTCTGTAGAGTAACCTTTTTTTAGGGAAATATTAAGTGTGCATTTTTCTTTTATGGTAAAATTTGGGTGATGATTGTATTACATATTATATTTTCCTGTATAATACGTGTAAGTGGCATAGAACAAAATTCTGCTTGTTTGAGCTTCAGAAGTCCCAACTTCAATAATAAAAAAGATAGGAAAATGAGCAATGTGACTTATGAATACTGCTTTTGCTAGACTAGATAGAGAAAAGGACAAAGCTATAAACTCAGCTGTATCCTATAGTCAGTGTAGAGTATAGAGCCAGAGCAAGTCCTCCTTTTCTTCTGAATTTCTTCCACAGGCTAAGAGACAACAGGATCGAACCCTGATCACACCTTTGTTTCCTGGTGGTTTTCTAAGTTGCCAGCTTTTCAGAGGCTCTATTGGTGTCAATTGCTAAAATGTGTGTTCATAGGGTTTTACTACATATTTCTTACATTTTGGCATATGCTTAGTTTCAGATTTTATTTTTCTTAAGATTGTTCCTTTACTTTGGCCAGGTGGGTTTTTAGTCACACAGAGAATGCTGGATATGTTCAAACGTCCCACAGATCCTCCTGAATACAACTACTTGTACCTGCTTCCTGGTGGTGTATTTGTAGGAGGCTATGCAGCAGCTCTCAGTGGTGGCTATAGTATTGAACAGGTAAAAGGTGACTTTATGGTTCCTAGCCCACTGTTCATTGTGATGTTTTGTCATGCCCATGCTGTCGAGGAGTAAATAAATAATCCAAGGTCTTTTCGTCAACTGCATATTCCCACAAGGCCAGTCTGAAGCTTATTAACTTTAAGTTTGCAATCATACTCCAGATGACGAATCTTCAAATTTTAAAAGCTTGATGGTTGCTGTTTGTTTTTGTGTAAAGCAACAGGTACTTTTATTTATTGGGCTGTTTTCCTAAATTCGAGCTGTGGCCTCACCGGTACCGAGTACAGGGGAATGATCACTGCCCTAGTTCTGCTAGCTATACTATTGCTGGTAGTTCAGAACTATCTGAACTATTAGTTCAAATGTACCATAAGCAAATTCTGAAACTATTCCTATGATGAACAGGATATTTAGCTTTGGATTTGTACTAGGGAAAAACTTGCTTCTGAACTGATGAGGAAAATTGGTTTGACACCTATTCATGCTGCAGATAAACAAAGGTCGTAAACTGTGGGAAAAGTTTATCACATTTTAATTGGCCAAAATCACAACCTGTACAACAGTTTCTCAGAGTCAGGAGTTTTGACTTCATTTAAGAACTGTGACTTAAACACGTTCTGGAAAAATCAGCACTTTTATTTAATAATCAGAAATATTTTTAATAGTGATGCAATTTGTCACTGCTTTATGTTGATGGTTTACTTATTTTAAAGGTGATGTATCTGGGCTCAGGACTGTGCTGTGTTGGTGCCCTGGCTGGTCTGTCTACTCAAGGAACAGCTCGTCTTGGAAATGCTTTGGGTATGATTGGTGTTTCAGGAGGTTTAGCAGCAACTCTTGGAGGCCTTAATCCCTCACCTGAATTGTTGGCACAGATGTCAGGTGCAATGGCACTTGGTGGTACCATAGGTATGTGTATGATATTATGAACTAACAAGCTATGTTCTGTGCATGCATTTGTGCAAGCTATATATACATAAAATACTGTATAGCTTGCAGGTGAATTGACTAACTTACATTTGTGGCTTGTGCAGTATTATTTTGCAAATGTGTGAACAGAAAAAAATGACTTCCAGGGCTTTTATTAATGCTTCAGATTGTGGTAAAGAATGGGGAGACTGGTGGAAAATCAGGAGCACATCATCTCTGTTAGGGAAGCTGGGTGTCCAAAGGTGAATGAGGTTGCCCAACTTCATGCTTGTGTTCAGTTCCTGACCGAATACTTCAAATTCCCTTTTCACACTGTGCTTTTGTCACAAAAAGCATTAAATTTCTCAGTATTTAGTGATGCTTCTAAGAACACGATATGTTTTAATCTTCTGTTTTTCATGATACCCCCATGCACACATGTGCAGCCTTCAGTTCAGTGCCATAGCGATTTCTAGTTGGAACAGTGTTGTGTGTGTGTGTATTCGTTGCACATTGAACCATGCTCCATTAATTTCTAGCTGAATTTCTAGATTGGTTGTGTTTTGTAAGACTTCCCTTCTGTTTTCAACTCTCCATAGGTCTGACAATAGCTAAACGCATCCAAATTACAGATCTGCCTCAGCTGGTGGCTGCTTTCCACAGTTTGGTTGGTTTGGCTGCTGTGCTCACCTGTGTAGCAGAATACATGATTGAGTATCCTCACTTTGCTACTGATCCCGCTGCAAACCTCACTAGGATTGTGGCCTATCTTGGCACATACATTGGTGGGGTGACTTTCAGTGGCTCTCTTGTTGCTTATGGAAAACTGCAAGGTGAGACCTTCTATTCAGAATTAGGTATTTGTTAAAGGTTTTTTCCCCCCCCCGAATTTAGCTCTGAGTTCAGATTGCTGTGTAATTACAAAGAATGCCGACATTTTGCATCAGGTAAAGGTTTATATGTTTAATTCTAATGAGTGTACTTTTTTGTTTTTAATTATAGTTAATTTGTGTACAACTTTAGCTACGAAAGGCTGTCCTCAGTGATTATTACTGCTGTTCATTACTAAGTCATGTAAACTTCCCTCAGTTCATCTTTTCTAGAAATAAGTGTTGTTTTAGTATTGCTCAGATGCTACCTGATGCTTTTCCTCACATTGATTGTATTGAACTTTTGTGATCACAGTTTTGTATTCCTGAACAGACATGTTAATTCAAACATGGTGTTACTGGATTCAGTGAGCACTGGTAATATTTATGGGATTTTGTTCTTAGCACTGCAGGCTTCGTTCAGGTGGGCAGCTTGCAGTATTGATTGAGGCTGCCTCACTTTAAACCATTCAGTTCACTGTTTATCTACTGTGCAAACTCAGTGCTCCATACCTCTTACTGTTTTAGTAAATACGCTTTCTAAGTTAAATACTTGCTAATTCCTGATTCTTATGCACGCGAACGTTCCTTATTGCATTTATTTTTGGTTTTGTAAGCATACAGCTTTTGAGAGACTCAGGTAATACCTTTACTAAGAATTTCAGGCTAAGAGCTTCCTGTTACTTGTTTTGTTGTTAGCTTTGCAATAGTTCCTTTGGGAAACATCTGTTCGCTGTCTTCAGTGTTTATGAGACCAGCCATTGAAGAAGGAAGCACGACATGGATGGAAAGCTGTCGTCTCTAATAATCTTTTGAAGTATTTGTCAGTAGTTTGTATTTCTGATTTATCTCTGCTAAGTGGTTATTTGTTTCTTCTCAGTTACATTTTTTTCTCCCTTCATCATACCCCCCTTGTGATTTGTGCGCATGTCCCTGGTGAACTTCACTGCCTGCTTCAGCCTACTCTCCTGTTTATTTCCCCCCCCCTCTCATTTTCATATCATCATGATATGAAATACTAAGCTTGTCTGTACTATTGAACTATCGATTCTATACTGTGGAAGAGGTAGTAGGTCACAACTTTGACTCCCAGTCCTGAGACCATCAGTTCCTTCTTCCTCTGAATTCAGCTAAATTTAAATGAGATACTCTGTCACTTCTGATGTAAGTAATTACTGAGGAACTTGCATTGCTTCTACTCTTTGCCATGCTGTTTGGAAAAAAAAAAGCCTAGTATGAGAATAAATATGTGATTGTCTTTTTAAACTGACTCACACAAATAGTGAACCCCTTTTTCTCTTTAAGTCTCTACCAGTGTGGGAAGCTTAAGAGGTCTGTGTACCTGTCTGTCCTTGAGAGGTCTGTCTCTCTTTTGAGAGACAGATTATATCTGTGTAGAAGTTCCAGTTAAAAGCTTGCTACTACAATGTATTTTACACAACATGCCAAGACTTGGGATTTTTGAAGAAACATTTTTGAAGGAAAAATTAAAAGGCTTTTCAAGAGAAGAAGAGGTTTTTGTGACTATTCTAGAGCACTTTAGTGAAATTAGGAAGTAAACCCAGTTTAAACAGGAGTATTTGAGAATCTAGAGTGAGTCGAATGTTTTGCAGTTCTGAGTCATCACAAGGTGATGTCATCAGCCTCAACTAACTTGTTTTATCTTCCACCTCTCCCTTTTTCTCTTTTTAATTTTTCTTTTGCTGAGTTACTCAGCCTTCTCTGAGGACAAGAAGCAGGCTCTCCTGAATGCATCTGTCAAACTCTGAATGTGCGTTTTATTGCAGGTATCCTGAATTCTGCCCCTCTGCTCTTGCCTGGTCGACATGCACTAAATGCGGGATTGCTGGCTGCCAGCATTGGCGGAATGGTTCCGTACATGATGGATACCAGTTACACTACAGGAATTACGTGCCTAGGTTCTGTGTCAGCACTCTCAGCCATCATGGTAAGTTGAGAAATTACAGAAGGTAAGACAAATTAAACAAGCAGTTTGTTCTCCAGCTTTGCAAGTTTCCTCTTAAGGATTCTATTTTACCCTCCTGAGTCACAGTTGGCATAGTGCCTGCCTGCGTGGTAACTTGCAGCAGCAGGTAGCAACTGACTTCCCCAAATCTAGCAGTAAACCAGAACTGTTCAAGAGAACAGGCGTGTATGTATATAATTACTTTTTGCAGCTATTGATTAATGAAGCGTTCTATATGACAAAGTGATGGTTTAGAAGACTTTTTGGGAAATTAATGCTTAAAATACTTAAAAGAGCTCTGGATCTACAGTTTGTCATGACAACTTATTAAGATTATCCCCATGTGTAACTTCTTCCACTAACTCACACCGGTGCACACCAGTGTTGCAAAATTTACCCTGAATATTACCATTCTGTAAACCAATTCTTGCAAAGGCTGCTCAGTATGAATCCTTTAACAGTATGAACAATTCCAGAGAGCTGGTAGGATACTTTTGCAAGTAAAAATATGTGACTAAGCACAGGATGAGGATGGTGGGGTACCTTTCTGTACTCTCTCAAAAGGCAGAATTGGTAAATCCAGTCCTCAGGTCACAACTTGAATAACTATACCTACACTGAGAATACTTTAGTAGGTTATTAAGTAACTTGATACTTGCCTAGAAAGTTTGTGGATGTCCCTATTCCTGGAAGTGTCCAAGGCTAGGGTGGATGCCTTGAGCAACATGATCTAGTGGATGACCTCTCTTCCCAAGGCAAGAGAGTTGGAACTGGGTGATCTTTAAGGTACCTTCCAACACAAACTGTTCTTTGCTTCTGTATTTTTCATTGCTGCAAGAAGACTGTCTTCTCTTTTCTCTTTAGTCATAGCTTACATGGAAGTATTTTCTTTCCTTTTCCAGGGTGTCACTTTAACAGCAGCTATTGGAGGTGCTGACATGCCTGTAGTTATTACTGTCCTGAACAGTTATTCTGGATGGGCTTTGTGTGCTGAGGGCTTTCTACTGAACAACAACTTGCTGACCATTGTTGGTGCACTCATTGGCTCCTCTGGGGCCATCCTCTCTTACATCATGTGTGTGGTAAGAAGTCAACAGAAACTCTGGTTGTTTGCTGAATAATGAAAAACTTTATTCAACATGTTTTCTAGGAAGATAAGCCATTGGATCTCAAACTGTTAGGTCTTTACAGACTAGAAAATTCTTGATTGAAACTGTTGGACTACATGTCAGTTGTCTTTGTTTGGTCAAAACTGAGGACAGCCTTTGTATTAACTTGGGCATTGAGGGTTTGAATTTGGGCTCAAACAAGTATGATTACTTGTGCTCAGCTGTTTTTTTCTAGTCATATACCTATGCAGTTTTGTTAAATTTAAGCTAAATTTAGTATTTAGCAGGAGATACTTAGGTATCTCTTGTAGTGTGTACTGTGTTCCTTTAAAAAGCTGTTTGATTAGACAGTAATTTACAGTTTGTTTTTTGACATGCAGGAAAACGTGCTACTTTCTTCATAGCAGCCACTTTGAAGTACCACGAGGTGGCAGCAGGCTTGCAAGATTTCACTGCTTTGCCAGTGTCTGTGTCAGCAAACTTGAGCTTCAACTCTATATAAATTGTATTGCATTATTAGTAATGACCTCCTTTTATCTACAACATTTACATAGAAGTCTTGTTTTCAAAGATGTAGAGGTAATGATTTAAAGAAGACTGTTCACAGTGCAACAGATGCCAAACTCCTGATTCTCTGTTGTGTAATCCTGTTTTACTTCTGCTCGTGTTCTTGCATGATCACTGTTGCTGTTCTCTTGTCTGATGTTTTCCTATGGTCAGTGCTGGCTGTCATCATTTGCTTCGTCTCAGCTGATAAATAGTGTTGTTACCATGTTAGGAATGTTTAGTATCATTAATTTTTATCTTTCTTGAGGAACAATTTCAGAAAAGTTTAAAAAGGCATTTTTGTCCAGCTTCTTGAAGGTGAGCTCAAATGAACAATTCCAGGTATGAATGTCAAAGAATCTTGTTCTTTCTTGAACATTTTCTGTCTCCTTATCAAAAGGAGATGAGATTATGTGGCTCATATTTATTTGTATACATTCAGGACTTTAGTCCAGATCAATAGAGAGATGATGCTTATGGCTAACACAAGTATGAAAATCATGTTCTTTAAAAATCCAATTCTTGTGAAATCGTACTGAAAATATGAACTGTTTGATATATATTTACCAGTAGGCAACGTTTATCTGTACATTGATTTTTCTTTTACCATCTCTTTTCCTTTTAAAGTTATTTTATTGCTAACCCTTCTTAGCACTCTTATATAAGAGAGTTTTGAAATACTTTCAGAGTTGCTTGGAGGAATCCAGATAAATAGGAAGCCTGGGGGAGTAGTTAGCAAAATAGTTATGCAGTGACAGAGTATCTTTCCTCTAAATATTTCTCAGGACTATTTCAGGAAATCTAGCTTTTGAGGTAGTATTCTAAAAATCTTGTGCTGCTTTATATAAGCTTAGACAATTAGAGTTCATCAACCAGTAAAATGAAAATTATTTTGTATAATTTCTGCACTTGCTGGCCCAGCATTTTTAATTTCTGCTTTACTTCCTTTTACTTCCATTATTTCTTTTAAAAACAATGTTATAATCAGGGAATTCAGTATCGTTGTCTTGAAGCTGCATTTCAGGAGAAAACAATGCTCAAGGGTTTCAGTAAACTCTGCTTTAGGTGTTGCAACCTGTGCTAATGAAGCAGCAGTTTTTCCCTCCCCTCTTTTGTTCTTTTTTTCCCACACCCTTTAATATTACTTCTATCAAAACCAGTATATTTATTGAAACTTATCTAGTACAGGTGAGAAGGTATTTGTGGAAACATCTTAATGGTCGAAACCTTATTTTTACAACATTTTCGATTACTTTTTGCGATAAAACTGTAGTTTAACCATCCAAAGTCTGTCCAGCTGATCTCTTAAAGCTTCGGTTGATAAAATTGGCCAATATGTATTCCAATAACCACTTAGTTTTTGCACTCATACTGCTTTATTTTCTGTCTTTCTTTTGTACCTATTAGTAGGCTGAGTTAAGGACAAAGAATTTCACTTCAGATAGCAAAGGCCTGTACTGTTCACTTATCCTGTGAGTTGTGGCTCTTAAAACACCAACGCATCTTCTTCAGAACAGTTGGTTGTATTAGCATGTCCTTCTCCCTCCTTTTTTCCCCACAGGAAATACTTGATTGCAACTGTAGTGTTAGAATCACTGTGCTCAGGGATGGGGAAGAAGCTTGACGTTGAAGAATAACCGTTAACTGGGAGAATGAAACAGAGCAAGAGAAGGGACAAACAGTGTTAGTCTTATAAATTGTGGGCTGGCCCATCACCTGTACTAGCTGTGTAGTTTCTCCGAACACAGTGGAAACCCTTGGAGTTCTTCAGGATCAGGTATTTGGTTTTCCCTGGACTGTAAGCTCCTGACCATTGTCACCTTGTGTGCACAGCACAGAGGGCTTTTTGCTGGTTGGTGGATTATCAGTGAGTGCTGAATCCTGAACTTTATACCTCTATATTTGTGGTCTGTGGTGGTAAAGAAGGTGAAGGAGGCTATAGAAGAGTTTTCACACTGTCCCAGTGCTGAGCAGGTTTTAGCTGGTTAATTTTTGCTTGATAAGGTTTTTGCTCTTCTATACCATCCATTTTTTTTTCCGGACTTCCCTCTTGGAAGGCCGGTCATCTTGGCTCTTTGTGGTAGAGCCAGGCAAATGTGCTTCAATCTCCTGCTTCTCAGATTTCTGATAATACTTTAACTTTTTTTTCTCTCTGGTCTAGCTGTAGTCCTTTGATTTAGATATGTGTATAAAGTGCTTTGCTTCTTGTTAGCTTATTGTGTGCAACATCTGAAGAGGGTATTCTTCTGTCTAGACTGTCTTACCTGACACTTAACTGCTATAATATACTACATAGTCTGGTTGCTGTTTGGTGTTTTAATATTGTGATACATGTCAAAGGCAGTGTGTTCTTAGGGGACATGAGCTACTGGGTACTGCAGACAGTAGAGAGATGCTGATTTCACTGCATTTGTGTGCTTCCCTTACAGTATCTGAAATACTGATGACTTACCAGGACAAACAAAAGTTCTGTTGTCTTCACTGTGCTTATTTGCTAGATGATGAATTTCAAAGAATGGCATATCTTCTCAGGCAAAACACCTGTGGAATTGCATGATTTGAAATGTCGGTGGAGAATGGACAGCTGGAAGCATATTTTATGTGGGTGGTTCCTCCCACACATCTGTGTCTCTCCAGATCCATTCCTAAATTTTGTTGTGGTTTCTCAGCTAGTAGAGAAGATGTGTGTCACATATACAGTTAAAGAAGCAATTTATACTGTTTCTTTCCTGCTTCTGAAGTTTTGTTTCCTGCAATTACAAGTTCTGCCTATTTCCAGTTATTGACAGATATTGCTTTGGGACCACACTCACAAGGAGACATGCCAGTGAAAGCATTTAGCCAGTGGCTTTTCTGGCTATGTGTCTAGTGGAGACAGATTTTCAGGATGTGTTCTTCTCTTAAAGCTCCTAGTTCAAATCTCTTGTTTCCCTTTGGTGCTCAGCCAGTAAGTAATGGCCCCCTTCAGTTCATTAAAATTTGACTACTTTCGTATGGCTTCTTAGCTGCTTTTTCTTTTCTGCCTTATTGCTGTAAGAGTTTTGCTTCTGTACTACCTGTAGGAGCTTCGTGGTTTCCATGCTGTCGTTAGCAGTTCTGTACTCACATGTTGAATAGGTCAGGACCTATAGAAAATATCTTGCAAAAATTTCATGTGTATGTGTATATGTGTACGTAAAATTTTTAAAAAAAATCCTGTCAAGTATGTTTTCTTTTATAGCCCTCTTTTAAGAACAAAAAGAGACTAATATTTGCTTTTTGCTGCCTTGGGGAAGTGCTGGTGCTTTCTTGTTAAATGTGTAATGTAATGTGTTAGAAGCTGGTGTTTGGTTATTGATGTGTTAAACTGTTGTAAGGAACCTGTTTTAAGAAGTTTTGAGTTATAAGAAGGCAAAACCAGCAGGTAAAGACTATTGTTGGGAAGTCTTTAATATTTTCAGAAAATATTTTCAGGAGTTCTTCATGGACTCTCACCATTATTTTTGCATTTTATCTTTATCTGATCAAAACCCTCTTGTCTTTCAGGCTATGAACCGTTCCCTTGCAAATGTGATTCTTGGGGGCTATGGCACTGCATCCACAGCTGGAGGGAAGCCCATGGAAATTACTGGAACCCACACAGAAATCAATGTGGACAATGCAATTGAAATGATAAAAGAAGCCAATAGTATTATTATTACTCCAGGTAAGACACTCTTGACTCACAAGATGTTTAGAGGATGTATTATGAAAAAAAAGACCACAAACAAACAAAAACCCAAACCAAACCAAAAAACTGTAGCCTACAGTGGCAGCATGGCAGCAGCATGTCAAATGTTGACTGAGTCCATGTGATTTGTTTTTGTTCCCAGCTCAGTTATCATTCTTTGCAGAGGTGTATGCCACTTCATTTTTCTTTATGTGTTTCTTCAAACTGTCATTTTTATTTGCATTTTAAATTCTTCAGGACAAAGACTCTCCTGTAAATTAAGCTTACACCACAACAGCTGTACACAAAATTAATTGTGTTTCCAAGCACTGCCACAGTACCAGTGGTTTCAGTACATCTGTCTGTTAAGTTACTGAAAAGATTTTGTTTACAGTTTTCATGTACTTGCTTAATTTTGCATGGATTTATGAAAAAAAAGGCAGTACACTCATTTAAAACTTAGTTAATGTAAATACTGTAATTAAAGTAAAAAAAAAATACTTGAAAACCAAAACCCTGAATTGTCTGAAACTACTATGTTGAGTGTAGGCTCATATTGTTCAGTAGCACACTCCCTGATAGGAAGGAGCTCAGTGAGGGAATAGCTCAATATTTCTTCAACTGAATGGCTTGACTGCTATGTTAAACTTATTTTAGCATTGGAATGTGAATAATGCTAAAATACAAAGTCATCTTTTGTTTTGCTTCAGCTTAAAAGGAAACATCAGTGAGGTAGGGTTTTAATTTGGGAAGTTACCTCTGTTTCCTCTAAAGCTTGCAGTCATCTTCAAGGAGTTTGCCTCTTCCTCCTGTGGTCAAACCTTGAGGACACCAATAATAATTTATACTCTTTGTATTTCTCAGGGTATAGCTGCTCTGATGAATTAGCTCAGACAGACTTAAAAGACCATATCCAGCTACTAGATTTGAGTTATGCAAATTCAAAATTCTCTTGAGGGTAGTGGTTGTGAAGTAACATAATACTAGCCACTCTATCAATTTTTCAGAGTACTTGTCTGAAAAAACCTTTTCTGATAGAGAAAGGAACATGTATTTTTGCGAAGCTGAAATAAGTTGCTTTTGTTGTTGGACTGGCCAAATCACTGCACTATGAGTGGTCAGGAGATCAAAAAAGAGATGAATTATAGTGGTCAGGCTGTGAATATATGAGAATCTGATGTGTGTATTTTTTTAATTTATTTTTAGTTATAAGAGCTTCTGTTTGTGTGGAAGATACTCTTATTGTCTGCAACTAGTCTTTCTGCACCAAAACAGAAAAATAGCTCAAGGTTTTGAAATTCTTTCAGGTTATGGTTTGTGTGCAGCAAAAGCTCAGTACCCAATAGCTGATCTGGTGAAGATGTTGAGAGAACAAGGGAAGAATGTCAGGTAAGTGCTTTCCTTGATGACAAGTGTTACAGTGTTCTGTTTCAGTTTGGTTTTTCTTTTCATTCCATTAAAACCCCCTACAAGTAAGCCTTAGTTTTGGTTTAATATTTCTTTCAGCCTTGACAGAGTCACAGAATAGTTGAAGGTAGAGATCTCTGGGGATTGTCTGATTCAGCCAGCCTCCTTGCTCAAACCAGAGTCACCTGGAGCAGATTGCTTAGAATTTTGTCCAGTTGGGTTTTGAACATCTAGTTTCCAGAGATGGAGACTTGTCAATCTCTTACAATGTTCAGTCATCCTTAGAGTAAAATAGGTTTTTCCTGTATTTCAATTTGCAACTGTTGCTTCTTGTCCATTCACTGGATACAACTGAGAAGAAACTGGCTCTGTCTTCTTTACTGCCCTTCATCGACATTTATACACAGTGATAAGATTCCCTTGAGCCTTCTCTTCTTCTCCCAGTTTTCAGCCTCTCCTCCTGTGGCAGGTACTTGAAACTATTGAGAACTTAGATGTACACTTATGGGATTCCCATAAGATTTTCTACTGCAAGCAAGGCTGTTATTACAGTTTTGAATATTGGATGGAAAGATTATTGGACTGCATGACACCAGTCCCATGAATTTATTCTGCTGGAGTGCTGCTCCAAAAGCAAAGATAATTCTTAGATTGCCAGTATTAGCCTCAAGTCCTTTCCTCCATTTTTTTTGTAGACCTTGTAGATACTGAAAGTACTAGAAGCAAACAAGATGCCTCCCCTGCTGATTGTTTGAAACTTTGCTTGGTTTCTAATTATGATAACTTAATATTTTAAAATAAGTTGAGTCTCAGTTTTTATTTCAAACAAGATATTTGGGCAGATGGTGGTTAGCCAGACTTATTCTCTGACTTCCATGTGTTTATTTCAATTAGATGGTGACTTCCCTCTGGAGTCAGTACTCTAGTAGTTAATGTTTTTTGCTTTTATTTTCCTTCTTCTGCTACTTTTTGAACCTTATTGAAAAGTTGCATGTAAGCTTTTTGCAGTGTGTTACAGCATCTGTTGTGATGGATAACAGCAGAATTGTAAGGTTTAGCAGCAATTACTTGTTAGTGTTTAGCCAGCATGTTGCAGTTTTGCATATAAAATTGCTGTATAGATGTGTTTGTTCATGGATACATGAGAAATGAGGGGGTGTGGTGGTGTATTTGCTTCCTGAAGCAGTTCTCTTCACACCTTGTTTTTCTCCATGTTTAGTGAAAGCTGTGTGTGTGTCCAGATTGCATTAAAAAATTTGAAGACTCCTTGTTGTGCAACAAGAAAACCCGTTTGTGGCTAATGCGATGACAGTATTGTATACTTTTGTCTTTATTTCAGTGCTTCTGTGGGGGAGAGCTTTTTTTTTCACCAACCTTGGTGAAATAAAAAAATACTGTTTCTTCCTTTTATATTGGCTTTACAGGGTAGAAAGGTGAATGAGTCCTTGAAATAAATGGCTTATACTTGAAATGAGTCAATTTCAGGAAGGGATCACTGCAGTGGTTACCTAGTATTTTAATGAAATAAATCTGTATTTACACTTTGTGGTAATTCAGGCCTTTCATCACTTTGTTGAGCTCCCACGGTGTTCATTGAGTGCAGCTGTTGTCCTCTGGTTTCAGTAGGCCTGGAGTGCCTCGGGACCCTAAACCACTCGCTGTCCAGATGTAGTGACGCTCTCACACATACGCTGTGGAGGGGTGCCAGTGTGGACGTAGGATTGCATCAGTCTGTAATGCCCACTGTGTGTCAAGAAAAACTGTGACTGTCATATGGTCTGGTTTTTTTGCTTCATGGCTCACCATTGATCCAGAGGAGCTGTTGTTTTCATTTGCTCTGCCTATAACCATAACATTCTCAGTGAATGCATATTATGTAACATGACACATAACCTTTGACTAGGGTTTAAATTTAGAAATACAGGAGAGTTCTGGGAAACTTTAGACTGTTTTAGTTACTCAGTTGCATAGCTAACATCACTGCTCACTTGAGATGGTCTTGCAGCAGATCACATCTTTAATGCATTAGTAAAGTCACATAGAAGGTTGGATATTACTGAGCCTAGAGTATAGCTTTGCCCTGTTATGGAGGGATAAAACAACAAAACTTTTTATAGGCTAAATCCTGTAGCCCTCAGAATCTATTGGCCTTGGAAAATGGCTGTTCTACAACTAGTGTTGTATTTTTGCAATGTCAGAACTAAGTAAATTGCTGAAAATTCTTGCTTTACCCAAGTTTGTCAGCCGCAAGTTGTGTTGTTTGTAGGAACCTAATTATGGAATTCTGATTTTTTTTCTATACAATAGAATTATATTCTGTAGTAGTTCTGCATATAGATATATAATTACTCTCTAAAACTGTATACATTCTCATATGCGTGTGGGTTATTGATGCTCTCCATGTCCACATCAAATTATCTGTCCTACCTTTTGCCACAGTATGACATTCTTAAGATATTTTCTATTCAATGTGTTTTGTTTTCCTGCACAATAAGAAGTTCTTTATGAGAAAAATGAATTTTAAGATGAAAGGACACTTAAATTGCTTTTTATAGACTTTCTAAATAATTTCATAGTAAATAAGTTGATTTTCTGGTAACTCATAGTTGAGAGTGATGCACATTACCTCTTTAACAGGCTTTCAAAATAGTTGCTAATAAATTAGTGTTTTTGTTTTTTTTTTTAACCTACTTTTTATAGATGGATATCTTGAAGGACTTGAATTTCTATCTTCTGATGCTGGAGAACCTAATTACTTTTAAGCATATGGAAACTAGTTTTTTACATTTTTGAAAACATGGTAGTACTGATTTAGTGTTGTACCTGCCTTTTTTGATTCTTTTTTTTTCCATTGATACCTCAAAGGCTGAGCTCTAATCAAATGTGTTCAGAGCTCTGTTCCCCCTCCTCCATTGTTCTAATTTCTTGGAAGTAATAGAACATGTGAATGGTATCAGTTACACATTTATCTACAAATTAATAAATAAAACTGATTAACTACAACTGTTTAATTATATCAGTTTACAGTTATGATTCTTTGTGGCTCTACAGGAAAATTTAGAAGAATTTTAAAGCATGAGCTGTTGAAATGCTGTCCTAAGCAGTCTTAACATACCGTGTATCTCAGGTCTACAAGATGGAATTTACTGTCACTGATGAATGACAGCATAAGAACATTGTGTGCTAATACAAGTTTCTGTGAAGCTGAATTATACTTAATATGAAGACACAAAGTGTGTACATGTGTGTCAGTTCTTGGTTGGTTTGCTATAATCAAATTAACTCTGTGGGTTCTGAATTATTAATGTTGCAAATGAAGGGACAGGTGGAGTCCTGCAGATCTCTTAACTCCACTGCCTTACTGGTGGTGTAGTTAGAACTAGCAAACCTTGCTGTACCTGATCTGCCTCTGCAAGGATGCAGCTGTAGCTGTGTGCTCCTGTACGTGTGCCATTGCTTCCACTGGGGTCAGCTCAGCTCTGGGTGACTTCACTAGGTCCGTGTGTGATGTTTTGTGGAAGCAGGCTCTACTTTTTTCCCTGTAGTTGGGCTCTTGGGAGGATTATTGCATAGAGCTAAGGTCCATTTGGATCTTGCCTCTGCTATGATAAACCATAGTGGTTGGAGATAGGGAACCAATATCAGAGCCCTGTTTAAGTATGCTTAATTTAGCTAATCTAACTCAGTTTAAATTTAACTGACCTGATTGATTTTGAGGCATATGTTGCCTCAGGCATGAAACCAGGTCTAGGCTATCTAGGCTAGCTGTATGTTTTGATTCTAGTAATCTACAGAGTTATCCATAAGGTGTGATGAACATTATTGTGAATATGTGTTGTGGGTTAAGATTTCTGCTTGGTTTATAAACAAACCAGCCAACCTACAGGAGTTCCTGCATAACTAATACTAAAAGAATATCAAAGAAACTTCGCAAGTTTTCACTTCAAAGCATTTTTACCATAAAACATGTCTCTCTTTTAAAATAATTTCCATGTTGAATTTTTGAATACGAATGAGGTTCATATTTTGAACATCTGGGAGAGCATATGTAACAAAATGTTCTGCTGTAATGCACACAGCTTTGAAGAACTGCTGCTGTTGTGAGTTGGGAGCAACTTTTATTAGACACGTTGTGATCCATCAAGGATTTTGGGTGTCTATTTTCCATGGTTACCTGAATTCTGAATTCTGCTTTGTATTGGACAGGCTGATTTCACTCCAGAAATGTGTAGATGTTACCTTTTGACATAATGAAAGCCTCAGATAAGCACATATTTTTTCATTATTCTTTTTGACATTCTTGCATATCCAATTACAAGTAGTACTGGCAGGCTACTGTCATATTTGGTTAACAGGCTCTTAGAAGCAGACTTCAATATTTGTCCAAAAAAGCTTTTGTATGAGCAACTTTCTCAAACTTCGTGAATACACAGTATGTGGTTTCAAGCAGAGTCTGTCAGAAGTCTTTAACTACTGCCATAACTCTTCCTGAATGAAGATAATTTGTCCCTTTCTTTCCTTCTTTCCTTGCCTCTTGCCAGGAATGGTAAAGTCAAAGGTGAAATTTATTCTCTTGGCAGCCTAAATTTTGGCTTTCCAGCCCTTGAAATAAAATTGTATGTGTATATAGTATTTAATAGAAACCTCACAAGTATTTTGTTTTGTGTATTGCCAAAGCAGCTTTGGTCACAAAGGCACTCAAATAATTTTATTAGACACAAAAGAGAATTTTGTTGGAAAATCTGTTTTCACTGCCAGAGGAGTGATGAGTTTTCTCAAGGGTACTTCAGAATAAGAGTTCTCCTACTTTACTGCAAGTGATTGAATTTGGTGTACTTAAGGTCTATCTGCAGTACTACACATGGCTTGTATTACTGAGTCAGTGGTGTGAACCGTAAGCTGTTTGTAATTTGTCCTATTTGCTCTCCTTTTTCTGATTCCAGGTATTATCCTTTGCAACAGGATCCCAAATGTTTACTAGCTGAATACAATCTATTGTCTTTGTTTCTTTAAAAGCATTCCTTTTAAAGCCAGGTTTTATCCTGCTGTTGGGTATGGACCTTAAGGTTGTAGTATATCTAATACTATGTGGATTAATCATATGTCCTTAATTTTGTTGCTGGAGTTCAGTTGTCTCATTTTTGTATTGTCTTAATGTTGTCTTAATGATGGAGCTCTCAGTTGCCCTTTTAAGGATGTATTTGCACAGTGTTAAATTCACAAGTGATCTGTGTTGATTGGACTGTGACTTGTGGTCAATCAGTGATGTTATCCATTTCCATCACAGTAGAGTTGAAAATAGAAATGTATAACAATCTGTCTGTCATGGCAAGTTGATTTATCAGTCTTTCTTTCCTTTCTGAAGAAGTCTGAAGTGCTTTTATTTCATTCCCGATTTTTTTTGATTTCTGCTCAGAAATTTCTGTTCCAAAATCCAAGAATTCAATAATCCAAATTTACTCTTGACTATTTTCCTTCTCTTCCAAAGGACGTATAGGCTTCCTCATTGAACATTTATCTTTAGCCCCCTACAACATTCGTCTGATGCACTTCTGGTGTGCTTGCAGTCAGCATACATCTGGTGATAGCTCCAGAGCTGGAAAGGCAGAAAGTGCACAGGACAGTAGACATGGATTTGCCTTGCTTATAAGGGCCAGTAGATGACCAGAAGAGTATAATATGCCAACACAAAATAGATTTGCTTCTAACCAAATATGGCTTTGATAGTTGCAGCTAAATCAGTTTAACATCTTCATTCTGACTTTTTCCTTACAAGAATGATATGCATGCCTGAGCAACCCTGGCTTGCCACCGTGTTGTCTGTCTGAAGTTTTATTAATTCATAAGCAGTGTCCTTTGTCTAAGTTGTTTTTGAGCTGTTCTGAAAACATTTTTTTAAATGGTTATACTTAAACTTTTACAGTTTCTTAGCTCTCCACCTTCTCACTCCCCCTCCTTTTTTTTTTCCCCCTTTTCTTTTTCTCCTAAGGTCAATCATGAGAAGAAAGTGGCATGTTAACCTAATTCAGCAAAACATTGTCTTGTGCTTGGTGACTTTACTGTTGGATTGGAGTGCTAGACTGCAATAACAATACATACTCTAGAGACACCTGAGTCAATAAAGATCATTTGCCAAGGGCATTTCTAGGTCTAGGAGTGGTTTTGCTTCAGAAAGGCAGCACGGCCTTTTGTCTTTTTCATGAAGAGCATTACACTGTGGTGATTTTATTTAGTCTGCAGTGATGTAAGGGATCTACAAACCATATTAATGTGGGTGGCAGTTTTGCAGCTAAAAGGCTTATTTGTAAAAGTCCAGAAGTATCTGTCACAAGATTTTAAATATGGTACTGCTTGGAAAGTGAACTGTTGAAGTTTAACCATTTTATTTTATTCGATTAATTCACGTGTGTGCTCATATGTAAGAACTTCTCAGCCTTGTAGGTCACTGGTGACAGTTTTACTGTATAAAACAGAGCGGTCTGTATTTATTAACGGAGTTGGACTTTCTTCCCTTTCAGGTTTGGTATTCACCCTGTGGCTGGCCGTATGCCTGGTCAGCTGAATGTACTGCTAGCAGAGGCTGGTGTTCCCTATGATATTGTACTGGAAATGGATGAGATCAATGAAGACTTCCCAGGTTAGCATGTGAGCCATACGTTTCCAGTAGATTGGATGATGTATTTGATTTTGGTTTTGTATCGCACAAGGATTTTAAAAATAGAAAATCTCAGTCAGGCCATTCAGTTTCACTTTGTGCCTCTGGTGATGGCATTGTAGAGGACAAGAGGTCTGTCTTTTTTTTTTGTGAGGAGGGTGCATTTTGTTTTTTAATTGCTTGTAGCTGTGACAAATGCTGGGTCATTATTATCTCTGTTACTGCCCTAGTCCCTGTAGAGGAAAACTGTTGCTCCTTTTTTAGGTCAGGTGTTGTGGATGGCTTGATCCTCTCATATCTTGCAAACCTGTATAGCATTGTGCTGGCAACCTTTTGGTTTTTTACATCTTTATTTAAAAATCAGAAAGTTGCTGGTAAAAGGTTTTTCAGAAGAATATTCAAAGGAAAAGCCAGGCACCAAAAATTTGAAAGTGATGATACTATGTGTGTATACAAACACATTTAAATATTAAAGGATTTAAATTTTTGTGTGGCCCAGTGGTCTAATGAGTCCCTTGGAACTGGCTTGTGGATGCTTGCAGTTTGCTGGAGGTAGCTGGGAGCACACTTGAACTCTCACATATAATTTACCTGGTATAAAATATTTGTGTGAATGATGTCCTCATAAATTTTTGTAGAATACTTAACCATTATGGGTTCTTCTGCCTGTAAAGATCAGAATTAACACAAAAATGTGCATCAGCCTCTGTGTTCAGATTTCAGATAATTTTTCATCAGTGTTATTTTCTTTGTCTTGCTGCAGAAACTGACTTGGTCCTCGTAATTGGTGCAAATGATACAGTTAATTCAGCAGCTCAGGAAGATCCAAACTCTATCATAGCTGGAATGCCAGTTCTTGAGGTCTGGAAGTCCAAACAGGTGAGATTAAGAGAGTTGTGTTAGGACCTACCTTAGGTAGCATGCTTTTACAAACATGGTGGATAAGCTATAAAGATTCTCCCACTGTTCTGGTTTCCATGAAAAGCTTTTCTCTGAGTTGTCCAGCAAAGCAGTCAGTGCTTTGCAAGTGTGATGCACTGCTCATGATTTTATAATCATCATCAAGTGCTTTAGCGAGACTACTGACAACTGCAATAGAAAAGACCAATGAAAGTGCTGCTACTAGAATATGTCATCAGAATACATAATGTCCTGCTCACCTGCAGCCCTGAAGCATTTTATACAAATACCTATTTTTTTAGGTTTATAGGAAATTTGATTGACAACTTTAATATTCAGGTAGAAATACAAGAATGGATAATATGCTTAAATAACAAATAACAATTAAAAAACAACCCCTCCAAAAAAACCCCCAAACCACAAAAACCCAAAACAGTGAGTGGCTGAGTTGAGTAGAGAGCTTAGTCTGTCCAGGTTGAACTGACAAGTTTTGTTTCTTAAGCAGTGTCATCTGATCCAAAGTACATAGACTTGTGTTTCTTTGATGTGAAATCTTTAATATCTTTTTCTGAACCCAGCTGACCCTCAGTTCTTCTGTAGGTTAGCCATTCATGTACTCAGCCATAGACACATAAATTTGTCAGCAGTGTTTGTAGATGTGTGTTGCAATTTGAGATATAAACACGAATGTAGTTACAGTTGGTAGAGCTTTACAGTTCCTCTGCTGAAGGTGCCATGGTTAACATGTTTTTGAAATTGATTTGGATATCAATTTGTCTGCTAAATTAAAATCTGAAATACAGCTTATAGCAGTGAGCATCTGGTTTTGGCCAGGGATGTCTATTCCTCTTCCTTTGTTTGTGGAAGCTGGTTTTTTGTGGTCTTTGCTTGAGGGAGGATGGTGGTTGTTTTTTGCTGTTTCAAATATGAGCTCTTTATGTGCAGGTCATTGTAATGAAGAGATCTCTGGGAGTTGGTTATGCAGCAGTGGACAATCCAATCTTCTACAAACCCAATACTGCCATGTTGCTGGGAGATGCCAAGAAGACTTGTGATGCCCTGCAAGCGAAAGTCAGGGAATCGTATCAAAGCTAAATACTGATTTGTATTCTGTTTATGTTTGCAACCACAGTTTTGTCAGAGAGGTCATGGAAAACAAGAGGTAGAAGAATCTCTCATTGTTATAAGGCAGCTGGCTTTTGGAGAAGACTGCATTGACTCCTAGGAGATGTAGTTTGGTCAGGGGATATGGACATTTATAAAAAAGATGGGCAGATTAGCCCTTCGAACTAAATCTCCAGTAAGGCAATGCATTAAAAAATGAAAATGTGCATTTTAAGGTTAACATTTTGCTGTTACAAGAAGGAACTAATAACTCAGTCATCTTTAAGTAGTTACTGACTTCCTCCTTCTTACTGTCTGTACTTCTGTCATGGAAATTCACTAAAAAATGCTGTGCCAAAACTGTATTCAGTCTTATCATCAAAGCGGTATTTTGGCTGGTATGGACAAAACAACTGTTGATTTTATCAAAACTTAAAAATAAATTTCAAACAGATGCAAGCAGAAGTAAATCCTTGCATGTCCCTTTGAACTCAGGACGTTCTAGCATAAAATAGATGCTTACGGGATTTGAGATTCTAAGCATTACGCTTTTTTTCTTTTGGGGATTGTGTGGATGCTGTGAATCAGGAACATTTTAGAAAAGTTACTTTTCTTTAAAATACGGTTCCAATTTTTTTATGGTGCACGCTTATGTTAAACGAAACACAGGATTTCAGGCACTTGCCAAGTAATCTTCAAGTCTGACAAGGAAATGTACATTTACTTGCACGGCTTAACTATTTTAAGCAACTGCTCAATTCTCCATCTTTTCCAGTCGTTGCCTTTTTAAGTGTCTGAGATAAAAATGCAGTCCAGTTCTGCACAGACAGAACATCTTGCATACCTGATCTGTTCACAGAATTTGGACCACAGTGTTTCAGTTTGTTCACTGAGACTTTTAATTGTATTCACTACTTGAAAATTTAGTGATGCTTTCTCAATTAACGTTTTTGTAATGCTGGAAGAAACACTTTTGAACTCTCCCTCTCTACTCTGCTATTGTGAGACCCCACCTGGAGTGTTCTGTTGAGCAGCTGGGCCCCCAGAACAAGAACAATGTTGACCTGTTAGCGCAAGTGCAGAGGAGAGACACTAAGTTGATCACAGGGCCCAAGCACCTCTCCTATGAAGACAGACTGAGAGGGCTGGGGTTGTTCAACCTGGAGAAGAGAAGGCTCTGGGGAAACCTTAGATCACCTTCCAGTTCCTAAAAAGAGGTCCATAATAAAAATGGAGAGGGACTTTTCACAAGAGCTGATAGTGATAGGACAAGGGGGAATGGCTGCACACTAAAAGAGAGTAGGTTTAGATTAGGTATTAGGAAGAAATTCTTCACTGTAAGACTGGCGAGGGACTAGAAAAGGTTGGTCAGAGAAGTTGTCGACTCCCCATCCCTGGAAGTGTTCAAGGCCAGGCTGACGGGTAACGTGATCTAGTGGAAGTTTCCCTGCCCGTGGCAGGAAGTCTGGAACTAGTCCCTTCCAACCCAAACCATTCTGTATTTAAGATGCTGGAGTTTATTAGATTTTTTTCTGAATAAATGAGCTATTGTTTGGACAGCACAGAAACATACTAAACTTAAAATCCAGTGTATTTGATTATTTGATTATTCTCACTAATCTAATTAAAAGCACTGTTAAATTCCCAGCATAAGTCCAACAAAGTTAAATTATGACATGGATTGCTGTTTTGCTTTTATTATATTAAGTATACTTGAGTGAAACTCAAATATTTGCCTCATAAAATGAATTTGTCGTATATCCATAATGTTTTCCTAATGATGTGACAACTGTCCATGGTGATGAAGGCTAAGTAGAACTAGCTGTGCTTGTGTTAGAAAGCATTCATACCTGGGGAAGACAAACTGTTATGGATAAAGTCTTGAAATTAATCTGTCTTGCTTGATAGAACATTTTTTTCATTACACCATGCACAGAGACCTCATATAAAATACCGTATTTCTTCTTGGCTACCTCTGTTTTTATGTGAAGATCACCTAAAACACAGACTTTGAATAGGTAATGCATTAAGAAATGTAGCAATATACAAAAGATCTACCCTTTTTGCAGATCTCTTTTATATAATTTGACATAAAAGTTATCATGCAAGCATTAATATGCTGTATACTGCAGGAAAAGACTTGTAATTTTTATTTAAAACATCATGGCAGCTATATTTGAATGTAGCACCTGTGGCCTCTTGATTTCATTGTATTCAACTTTTCCTTCAGGTCTGCAAACACTAGGGAAATGGAAGAAGAAGAAAGATAAGGAAATAATCCTCTATCTCTCTCCCTCACAACTGAGAAGAAAAAAGTAAAAAGGGAGATTTGAAGGGATCTAAAATCCTAAAGTATTCATTTTTGTCATGCTGAGGTATCTAACTGCAGTATACATCATGTCTCTGCTTATGGGTAGCTAATAAAAGACCAAGCTTTTCTTTAAAAAATAGCAAATAACAAGGGAGGGGGAACAGTTTACTTTGTATTTGGAAAAAACCCCACACTATTACCTTGGATGGGAAGTACAGTGTTACCTTTAAAATGTGCTTTACCATGGAACACCAGGTAATTGTTAAAGTGCTAATAAAAAGTCAGTTGTTTTTCTCTGTTGATCACTGCTTCTGTTCTCTCCTGTTGTGTTTCCTGAATAGGTAACTGTATCTGAAAACAGATCCAGTTCAATCAGATTGCTATAGGCTTTGATTTGAACATCCTGGTGGAGATGTCACAGCCTCACTGTCATTGCAGTGTTTGATTCTTCCAGTTGGGAACGGATTATTTTTTTTAATTGTAATTAGAATTTCCTTTTTAATTTTAATTAGAATTTCCTTTGATGAAACTGCCTGCAACCTTGCAAGACTAGTTTGCCCAATTGTTCAGTCTCCATCAACATTTCATACCCTTTTACAGGCTGACGTGCTCCAAAGTCAGTGTAAACATCTCAGCTCCTCTATCTCTGCAATACATTAATTGTGCAATCATCCAGACAGTTCCTCCTGCAATACCCAGCTGGTGTTCCTGTCTTAGGCAAACCATACTGAACATCAGAGATGGGTGAAAGGGAGGGAGATGGAGGGTGTGTATGAGGAGGCTGCAATGAAAACAGAACTAAAACTAAGTATCTTTTGCCATTGTCCTACCCTTCTTGAGCCAGTGACTCAGAAATTTAAATTTGTAAAATGTGCTATTTCTAGCAAATATGCTGCTTACTTTCTATCCTGAGAGGTACAAAGTTTGTTTTTGCGCTGTTAAATTGGCTTTGAAATTTTTTGTAAGTAGGGGAATTTTACTGAGTACAAAATGACAAGGTTTCAATAATGTGATCAACTAATCTGTTCTATACCTGAGCAGTGCAGTTCAAATACTCATTTAAGACTTGCAATGAGTATTGTTCCATCAGTGTCAAAAAATAAATAAATAATTTACAAATCGTAGTAGGTTGCATAATGTGACTGCTCTGTAGCTGCCCAGAGGATGTATTACGTTACTGTTTTAGGCTAATGTGATACATGGTTCTTCCTGAAAGGAAGATATGTACTTAGATGTTTTCATAAATGGGCTTAGTAATATTGAAAGCTCCAAGTTCTCAAAAGGTGATGTTTTGGAGAAGCATAAACAATCCTAAAACATTAATTGAAGGTATTACTTGAGAAATTAAGGGACTAATTTATAGCCCTTTTTCCAGGGTGATCAACCTAATGACTTGTAAGGAAAGAGCTTTTTCTGCAGTTGCAAAGGTAGTGAGGAATGTTAGCTAATGAGGAGACAGCAAACAGAAAAAAGTGATAGAGGAAGTGTAACTATTCTGCTTTCTCTATTTCACTTTTGCCTGGAGACATTTTCCCTGAAAATGAGAGGGATTGTACTCTTTAACAGAACACGTGCTTAGGAAGTTTGTGTTCTTCCCTTAATGACAGTTCATCAGTTTTATTTTTCCCTGTATACTACAAGACTGCATGTAGCCCAGTACATCACTCTGACACCTGGCACTCCAGAGTCCAATTTTCTGCACAGCATATATAAATTATATATTAATAACAATTTTTGCACACTTGTTAGAGAAATGGCTTTCTGAATTCTACATTACCAATTTTTAAATTCACACCTCTTGACACTTTTTTTGAACTCTGTAGACTTCTGCAAAGCAGTTTTAGTTTGACAAGGATATAGAAAATAGCTATCAAACCTTATTTAGCAACTGCAACTCTTTTTAGAATATTATGTGAATGAGGCACAAAATATGTCTGTTATTCGTTTTGATAATAGAGTCAAAGCGGGTCAGACAAGGGGGAAGGAAATTGTGTGTCAGAGAATTAAAATAGTCATGCTGCAGAGATCAGACCTTTACCTCACATATGAGTATGGCTTTAAAAATAGTGCTATACCTGATGGAGTTCTGTTACATGTTCTGAGTATGACATTTACTAAGTGTGATGTTTTGCAATTAGACGTGAGACTGGGAAGAGGCCCTGTGTCTATCCTGACCTTCTTTTCCTGCCCAAACTTGACAAAACCCATAAAACTGGTTATTATCCAGCCATTTCCCCATTAAAGGAAGGAAGCAACAAAGGAACTGGAGGACAGAAGGGCTAAAGGGGCTTCACACTCAGTAAGAAGTGTCTTCTGAAAGAAGATTGAGGTTGAACTCTAGCACAGCATGAAATTAAGTTATTCTATTACATGGTCAGTCTAACCTATAATTTAAAAAATCCATAGCAGAATGGAAACTAACAGCTAGTGAACATAAAAAGCTCAAGCAGATGTTAAAGCTGTCTCATGGCAGTAATAACTAGCAGTTGCCTATTCCCCCTATTAAAATATTACAGATGTGGTAGGAAAAACCATTTGATTTTCTGATTCTGCACTCTCAGAAGCTCATTGTTACAGGCCATGGTACAATGAACTCCAGTTTTCAAGAGTTTTATGGTGGATTTGTTAATGTACGGACACAAAACATAAAGTCTCTTAATTTATAGGCACATCAACCATTCTTATTTTTCATCAGCATTTTGTCCCCAAACATATCTATTGAATGTTAGTTTAGTGAACCATATAATTTGAGGTGACTGAATTATAAATTGAATTTTAAAAACAGAGGACTGTAACCAACAAATGCAACGTGCTAAGCATCACTATAATTTTTGTGTTACATTCCTGATGTGACACTGACTTCTTTTTTTAAGTTTTCAGAGATATCATAAACCACACTTTATACGTGGCCTGTTTGATCTGTGAAAAGTGTTAAGTTCTTCCATGGAGCCGCTGAACTTCAGCTGTAGATCTCAGAACCGTTTCTCTTTCTGCAGGGCAATGTAGCAAGAAGCATCTGTTGCCTTTTTACCTACTTGTTCCTTTTTTTGTTTTGTGTGAAATTATTATGGCATTTGGTATTTAAATGCTAACTCTCACTAAGGGATCTAGTTTCTGTTGTCCACCTTGGAAACTAGTCACCTTTGCATGTTTTTTATGGAACTGATCTTAGAGGAAAAGAGAGGGAGCTTTCCATCTCTGCTGGACCAACCGTTGTGGTTGGTTCTAAAATGTTACTTTCCTGCTCTAACATTTGTTTTCAAATACAGATCTGTCTCATTTGTCTTTACTGTGGTGATGGTGAGGCACTGGAACAGGTTCCCCAAAGAAGTTATGGATCCCCCAACCCTGAAAGTGTTCAGTAGTATGGCCAGTCTTTGCGAGCAAAGATTTGGGAAAGGTCATTACCCTTGGAGCCTGCGCAGTGGATTTTTTAGGTGAGACACAGTGTGCGCTGAACTGAGCCCACCCTTTAATCCTGAGGTTCATCTACCGGGGCTGAGCGAGCTTGGACGGTGGCAGCGAGGTCCTCAGGACGTAGGTTTGTTTAGAGTGACCTTCTCTTAGATGGATGGCCTTACAGGGCTGACGAGCTCCATCTGCCTGGGGGAGTTTCCCTGACTGGGAATTGAACCTGGGCCGCAGCGGTGAGAGCGCTGCATCCTGACCACTAGACCACCAGGGGTCCCCCTGAAATTGTTCAAGGCCACCCTGAATTGGACTTTGAGTGACCTGGTGTAGTGGAAGGTGTCTCTGCCCATGGCAGGGGGTTAGAACTAGGTGATCTTTAAGGTCCCTTCCAACCCAAACCATTCTATGGTTCATTTGTTCTTTAAGTTAGTTGTAAATCTCTTATGTTCATTAGAGATCTGAACAGAATGAATATGGCCTGATGGGAGATGATATGAGTGAGAAACTTCAGTTTTAGTGTGGAAACATACCCTAGTGTATTGTGTTACTTGGGGATTACCATAGTCTTCATGTTAGACATATGTTGCAATTTTTCAGATTTATTAAAATTATTTTTATTAAAAGATTAAGCAAAACAATGTTGGGATGAAGCTGAGGTGACAGTGACGATCAAAATACAATTTGAAGACCTCCATGTAATAGGCAATGTAACACTGGACATAAAAAGCCTTGCTTTGGTTGTCCTGCAGATATGCTGGATTGGTCTCCCTAATGAGTTGCAGTGTGTCCCTCTGAATAAGGAGACATCTGAAATTTTATGTCTTTTGTCAATGACATGAGAAATGAGAAAATTTTCAAGAATGTGTGAGTTTGACTTTTGTAACAATCCTCTTTCACTCTATTCAGGCACCAGCTCTGTGGCTTTGGGCTGAACAGTTAAATCTGAGTGTTTGGAGGGGTGTGATACCCTTCCTTTTCAGAAAATGTACAATGGCTTACAAACAGCAACCATTTCTTAAAGTAGGTAGTAGGCTTAGCAACACATTGTTTCAGTGCAAGCATTCTTCTCAAAATAATTGTCCTCAAAATCATCAGCTGGATCTTTGACAACCAGAACCTGGAACACATGTAGTCTACAGACTGCTCCCATGTTGCTCTTCTGTTTGTAGAGTGGTATTTCTACCATTAGATCTTCATAAACCTGTAGCAAAGCCTTCCACAAATAATGTAATTTCTCCAAATAGCTGTAAAAACTTTTTAGCCTACCTGTCTCTTTAATTTAGAGTAAGTTCTAGTATTTGGAAGGCATGTATTTAAGAGGATGTTTTGTTAGGATTGTTCCAGCAGGCAATACTTTTTTTTTTTCCTCAAAAAAGCATGTCAGTGAGGTGCAAAAGTTAGTATTTGAGCCATAGTTTTCAATCAGTATCTTTTTTATTCTGTCTTCAAAATACACTGATTTGACTCTCATCCAAATTTACCTATTATATTACAAAGTTGGGACAGGAAAGTAGCTCAGGTTTTGATCAGTTTGACGTAAGGTTTACTGTACCTGTAGACTTCAGCTCTTTGCAGAAAATACCGAAGCATTCTGCCAGAGTTAAAATTCATTAATATTTTTCCAGTTCCAAGCAGAGTTAGTATCAACTCCCTTTTGTCTACTTATTTCCAAAGATTGCTTCCCTCATGGCTTGTACTTTTAGAAATAGTTGTAATTGCTCTGGGAATTATTCTGATGGTCTTGCACTATAACTTTTAATAGGTTGTTTTTGTGGGTGAAAATTTGTTTTGGTAATTTTCTTGATTGTCTGCATTTTTATTGGAGGAGGTGGCCATAGTTTATAGGAATGGAAATGTGGAAAAGAATTATCATGCTTTGCAAACAATTAAA